GTTCATGACTGAAAAGTCAACTCTGAACCCCCCCGGGGAGACACCCCCAGGCCGCATGAAGGACTCCATCGAGATTGGACCCTCCCGACAACATAGGAGAAATGGACAAGGTCAGGGTAGCCTTCGTGCCAGAAACCCTTTTATGGGAATTTATACTCACAAACGTTTTTTAACTACAGAAGAAAACCAAAAAATATTTCAAAATTTTACAAATGAAAATGTGACAGTGCTCACGTTTCATCAAGAAAAAGTGATTATATTGTCTGCATACAGTGCTTATATACAGTACCTGCACATAGGGCGTGTAAGGGTCGGTATACAGTTTTGCAAATTAAATATTGCCAAGGGCAGTTGAGTGGGGTATAAAAGACTGGAGCAAGCGAACACAATGTTTAGATGGCAAAGAACAATAGTAAGATGGAGATCGAGAAATAGCTATAAGTAGCAACAGAGGTATGTATGTTTTGAATTACAAGAAAATCAGAACTTTTGTAAAAAATACCTGCAATTATCATGAGTTTTCAACTCAAAATGGAAGTTGCTATTCTAAAAATAGTAACTATTTCATATGGTACCCGTATTTTAGTTTTGGCTCTGCTACAATCTTTGAAGCTTAGTGAGTTGAAACAAAACAGAAAGGGTTAAGGCTTTTCATATTTATAATTTTCAAAATAGTTTGGGTATTTCTGTTAAAGACATCACATTATTTAATTTATCTTTCATGGAGAAGCACAAATATGGAATGATGGAATCTCAAACATTTTCTTGCATGGCTGTCAATTAACAACAAAAATTATGTATTGAAGATTCAGGTAATTACACTTGTGTCCAAATTTGGGTAAATCTGGCATGATCTTCATTTAGATATACAACTAGGAATTTCATTGGTGAGAAAAAGAGTATCTTGTTCAGGAAAATATGTTTCTTTTGGAATATTTTGTGTAATTACAATTAAGTTGCAACATGGAGCTGAAAAGAAAAAGAAGAAAAAATGAAGATAAAAGGGTCATTGTTTTGTAAGTTTGTGCTAACTAACATGTAATTTTGATAAATATTTGTTGTAAGAAGGAAAAATGAGTAATGGATATTTTATTAGTATTGAGTACCTGGAATATTCGATTGTTTTGATCACTATTTGCTTTGTTATGATATTTGTAGCTATTTGGTAACCAAGTGTCACTAGGAGCAAGAGGATTTCTAATAATTTTATTTGTAGGATGCTTGCAAAGCATTTGAAGAGGCCTAAGCCACACTGAAGGCATGGCAAGTGAGTGTCAAAGGTGCAAGGTCTTTGTAGGGGGTGTCTGGGGGCATACTCCTCTAGAAAACCTTTAAAAATTAGAAGCAAAAACATACATTCTGATAAAGGCTTTTTTGAGCCAGACATTTTCATACCAAAATTTCACTTTTTCTTTAGCCCATTGATGATTTATTGATTTTCATGGATTCTGAAAGTTTCATCAGAAGTGACAAACTAAGTGTCTTGTATGATGCATTGTTGTTTTACACAAAACTCTAATTTATATCCATACATATAACATAAGAAAGGAACAGGTCGTAAAGAAATAACATTCAAATTTTATAAACAGAGGTTATTTTACTTAGCAACTGGAATATATAAAAAAGTATTGCAACTGTTTCATGGACATAAACAGTGTTCCTTATGACAAGAAGTTTCATATGTTGATATCACCATGTCTTATTTTAAAGAAATGCTGCAGAGACTAGCTGAACAAAATATCAAAGAAAAATATGAGAGATATTAAAATGTGTATAAAAGGTTTTTAAAGTAATGATTATTACATTTAAAATATAAAGTGCTACAAATAAGAATAATTAGAAACTGAGAAAATATGCTGTATATAAAATACATTACTTGAAGCATTTTCAGATGGTTGCCAGAATCTTCATCAGAAATTTATGAATTTCACTCTAAAGGTTATTTGCTTGTGAGAACTAATTTTAATGTTTTGATTTTAATCTCATAATACAGTTGTATTTTATTATACCAAAAATGGACTCCAATTACATATGTCTTCAACTAATAGAACTAAAAATAAGCAAGAGCAGGTTATAGGACATGTGTATTGTCACAAATATAGGTCATTATAAGCTCAACTATGCTTGAAATGCTGTGGAAAAATTATAAACTGTTTTTCATAAGCGTCAGTCCAAGAAAGTTAGTGAAAGAATGTTATCTAGTTTCATCTTAAAACAATTCATATAATTTGATTTAGA